AAGATCGGATGACGTCTTTGTTATTAATGACGCAGATGAAATCCCGGCACATGAAGGCCTCCTTTTCCTAAAGCTGTTTGATGGCTGGACAGAGCCTTTTGCCATCCACATGCGCAAGGTAACAGCGATTGTCAACTTGTGTAGCAGGGATTGTGTCATGCATGAACTTTTTACAAGTACAAATGAAGCATATTTGATTATATCTGTTTATAATTCTGTTTTGTTGTCTTGTTCCCCTACACCTAGTCACTGTACGGATTTTTCTGGAAGCAGTTTGGCTCTCTAGAGGTGGTGTCAGGTTGCACGGTGGGGATGCTCCGCGATGTCTACGATGGTGACGGTATCAAGCTCCGTCGTCGCGAATACTACACCATGCCGGGTTTCCGTAAGTATGAGAACGACACAGGCCACATCCTGGTGCAGTGGTCAGTGGGCAGCCCCTTCCACTTCGCTGGGTGGCACTGCTCCTGGTGCTTCACGCCCGAGGGGATCTACTTCAAGCTGGTGTCAGCGCAGAACGGAGACTTCCCACGGTGGGGCGACTATGAGGACAAGCGCGACCTCAACTACATCCGCGATCTGATCAGGACCGGGGGCTGGTTCGATGGCTCCCTGCAGGAATATCCCCCTGTAGACCCCAAAGAACACATGTACGCCCCTAAGTACATGCTAGAGCACTATGACAGGTATCGCTACCTCCTGGAGAACCCTTACAACAAAGCCTCCAGACTGAGTGAGGGCTAGGACTTCAGCTAGGACAAAAAAGGTGAAATAACTAGTAGGGCCTGAGTGAGGCTCTCAGCACTGAGTTTCGGGGGCGGAACGGTACTGATGAACTACATCTTTTATTGGAGTGATACTACATGTATCTCCACCAGGCAGCACTGATGTTGCAGGGATTTAAAATCTCTTAAAAATCATTATTTTGGGGTAAAAAAGGGAACACTGAATCACATCCATCATGAATTTGCGGATCTTTGAGAGGATACAACCACTGGATAAACAGAATCATAGATTTCTTCATTACTCCCTTTTTGGGGAAGAAGCCAAGCTATCTGTCTTTTTGTCACCCTGGCCCTGTCCTCCTTTTCTTCACCCGAGCCAATATGCCTGCTGAGAGCAAGGGGCCGCTTCGAAGTAAAGAGAGGGATATTTTGTCGCTGTGTGAAACCTCTGGAGACAAACTTGGAAGAGAAGGAGTGTCTTTTGTTTCTGTCTGTGTTTACTAAAGTTTACAGACTGATGTTCCCGCTTCACTCTCCACCATCAGATGTCTTCCTGTCATATTTGGTGACCTCCCTTCAGAAACATACACACAGTCAGATCTTACATTATTCTTGGGTCTCAGTAGAAAATTATGAATCCTATTTAAACCCTGCTGGAGTACCCACTGCCAAATGAAAAGGAATGACTCGATGGAGAACTCATTTGTGTACTCACTCTCATCCACATGCACCTTATGTGTGTTTGTAAAAGAAAGTGTGTGTGGTCTCTGTATCATATTGCAAGGTTTGGGCTGTGAACAGAGGACAAGATCAGTGAGAGGAAAAAGAAAGTGAGAAAGAATAATCGGATGGGGGGCTGGGGAAGAAAGACAGCGAGATGGGAAAACAGTGCAAGCGAGACAGAAGGCAGGACAGAACAGAATAATGAGGGAGGAAGAGAGTGGTGATGAGAAGGAAAGAAAAGGAGGCTCTTTCAACGTTCCCTTTCCCACAACATCTGCTGATGTATGAGTGTGCAGAATGTGTGTGTCCCTCAGAGCTTACAGACAGCTCTGAATAAATCATGCTCTGTCAATGGCATCCGAGACAGATGAAACCTGCCGTTATTGTTTGTCCGATGAGAACAATCGAGACCAGTTAGGGAAAGATCACCCTTTAGTTGGGTTTCTCTGTCTATCCAGCAGCTGAGATGACTTTGTTTCCTTGGAAACTAAAGTATGTGAAAAAGGAAATGGGATGGATGTTGTTAAGATGAGTGGGTGGGTTCACATCAGGCTAGGAGCTAGCGATCAGACGAGGTCAACACCGACTATAGGGCTCCTTGGATAAGTAGGCCTCTTTCTCCTCAGTTGTCAATCACCAACTCTCTGAAAATGACTCTTCCTGTCGTCTTTTTTTCTCTTTTTATGCTGCTAAGTGTCTTTTTTTCCCCTCTTTGGTGTTGGTTTCCTTAATCCTCATTAATAAGGCAATTTTTTTTATATTCTCTCAGTCTCTACACATCCCCCTCTCTGTCAAAAAAAGTTAGAGGAATCTCCAACTCTTCCGCTAACTTTCCTACACCCAAACCCATGCACACACGTACACACACACACAAACACTGGCTCTCACACTCCATTTTGGGTGTGTATCTGTTTCCTTTTAATCCTCACAAGAAAAAAACGTAAATAGGAGTGTATTTATCTTCACTCTGCCTCATTTCTCTGCCCCTGTCTCTACAGGACAGGACAGGGCACTCGTTACCATGGTGATACCTCCCCTGTGGCCACGGATCACTAGGATCTGAACATTTAGGCATGAGCACTCATGCCTCTTGCCTTCTCACATCCCTGCCGTGATGTGACTACATGCTTAAATCCTCACCCCGCATAGAATGTTGAAGAAGTTGGTGATGTGTACAATTTGGTAAGCTGTGGGGTGTGTGTGATGTGGGCTGAGGCCAACGGCGTACTGGGTTATGTTTTTGTCAAGGGCAAGGGAATCATAGCAACAATGTTAACAATGAACAGTTAAGAAAAGCAAGAAGCTAAACATGCAGCATACAAATACCAATCAACAACAGTAAAGTCATTGATTTTTTTTTTTAATTGTAGATGACTGCATCCACCATCTGCTTCTTCAGTGCCTGTCTGGGCTTTACAGATACTATTTACCTCAGCTTCAGGCTAGACACTGTTTCAATGTGA